CTTGTATCCCCCTCGGAGGCAGGTTGCTCTCTATATGTTTTGTTGTGGTTTTGTTTTATGTCTATTATTTCAATGTTGTTGTGACTGTTGTTTGTTCTCGTTTAATGTTGTTATATTTGTTTGATGTTGTTGTTGTTGGGATTGTTATTGTTAATGTTATTATTGTTGTTATTATTTTATTTTTATTATTTTATTTATTTTTTTTTACTACTATTGGTATTATTATTATTGTTTTTATCATCATTATCATTGTCCTGTCGTTTTTTTTTCCTTAAACTAATTTTACAACAATCACTAGTATTTTTAAGTCCTAATGAATTAAGGGCTTCGCCTTGCCGCACCCTCCTCGAGAAAGGAAAAAAAAAGAAAAAAATGCTTCCTATTAGTCCGTCACTCGCACACTGGACAGGGTGAGGTGGCTGAGTGTGTCTTGCAGGGTGAGGGAAGGGTCTATGGGTGGGGTGGGGGGGGGGAAGGTAGGGTGAGTGGGGGGGAGGGAGGGAGGGATGGGTGGGTGTTAGTTCACCTTTTAAAATATATATATTTAGCACCCTTCACCCTTCACAAACACACACAGTTCGTTATTTTACCTTTTCTGTATATTTACGCTTTTCGCCAAACACACACCTTGGTTCAAAAGAGGTGTTTGACTCTGCTAGCCCAATGTAATAATGATAATTATAATTATGATGATGATAACAATAATTATAATAGTAATAATACTAATAAATAATATTAATAATGCATTAATTCGATACTTCAAATCCCGCTTCAATAAAAAAAGTAAAATTTACGTAATGTATAAATCATTGTTATTTCATTTGAATTTATGATTTACCTAAAGCTTTCGAAATTCAATAAAAATAGATTATCTTTAATAAAAACTTTAAATTCTCAAGCTTGCAGAGGTTTAGGTATGTACATATTGCGTCTCCTGTGTTTTTAGATAAATTAATTCAAGATAATTTATGTATAATGTGTATTGTAAATAAGATACTCTTCAGTTGATGATTTGATAAATCACCTGATAACAATCTGATTCAGAAGTTTGTTAAAATGTGATTGCGTCCTGGCTAGGGATTTCCCAACACAGTTTTTACATGACTTTTCCCTTATTTTTTTTATTTTACTTTTTTCCCCTAGATTTTTATTGAAGCTATTTTTCCCTTTAGATTTTTTACTTGTGACTATTTTCCCCTAGATTTTTACTTGAGACCTTTTTTCCCCTGGACTTTTTACGTGATACTGTATTTTTCCCTGGATATTTTATTGAGACTATTTTCCCCTTAGATTTTTACTTAAGATTATTTTTCCCACTTTTTTTACTCTACTCTTTTCCCCTAGACTTATTCCTACTTAATAATTGAGGGGTTATTATTTTCCCCTTTCGGTTGTATGGGTTATTTTCCGATAAATTCCATTTTTTTCAAAATTTTTACCAGGGGATTAACTTTTACTTGTTTTGCTCCTTATTTTCCCCCCAATGATTATCCCTTTTTCCCCTCACAGACCCTATTTTTTTCCATATTGTGCAATAAAGGCGAATTTTCCTCATTAGTTCCCCCACAAAGGTGAAATATTCCTCTAGTGTCCAGCCCAAGGGTTTAGCTAACTCACCCTCAAGCAGATGAAACAAGGACTGTTTTTTTTAGTTGTTTTTTTTTCACTTAGGAAGCTTTTTAATTTTCTTAGTAAATGTGTATGAGTGTTTTGGAGGTAGTTCTCTGTCGACACGCGGGAACGATGTGTAGTTCGCATGGGCGTTTTTCTTTTGTTTTTGCTGAGTTTGTGGGTTGACTGTGCAAGCCTATTTAAGCCTGTAGTCGTGCAGTGGTTGTGGTAGAAGTACTCTTAGTGTCGCGTTGTGTGGATGGGTGTGTGTATATATATGTATATTTTCAGCTGCTGATTGTGTTAATTTGGGTGGTTGCTTGGTCGGTGTGGTTGTTTGTGTTTGTAAGTGTGGTTAATGTGTTCTACTTTTTTATGTGTGTTTTGTCGACGTTCTGTGGTTGATGTATTTTTGTTTGTAATTGCAAGAAGCATCTAATTTGTCAGAAAGACCATTTTAGCACCTCAAGCACCCTCAGTTAACTACTTCAATCGTCGATAATTACATTGATAACGACTAGAGCCACAAAAAGAGACGAAGAAAAGAATGGGGTCCTAATTACGCTTAAAACTCGCATGTCTGGTCATTCGTATGCGGTTCTGGTACCTTGTTCTGGTACCCCGTTCTCGTCCGGTCTTCGTGCGCGGTCGTAAAGTTAATTGAAGACTGTCTCATGTAGATTTTTTTCTTTCTTTCTTTTTTTTATAGATATTAGGGTGAATTACTGTAATATTGGAAGAGGAGAGGTTGTGGGTGATTTGGTGATCTGAAAAGGTCTTCATAAATATTGAAATTATTAATAATGATAATTGATTAGTGGTCATTATGATAATCGCCAGAGAGAGAGAGGGGGGGATGAAAGCGAAAGATGGATAGACTGAGAGAGAA